CTTTCCCTCGAGGTCAGTAAAGCAATATAACACAAACTATAGCGCTTCTTTAAACTATTTCCTGTTCCTTTTCTATCAAACATCTGCCGTACTTCTTCTTTTTCTTCTTTCATGTTTTCTAATCTTCAGCACTTGTTTGACGTCCTTAAAAAAAAAAATTTAAATCTCCACACTCACCTTTCATTGAACGGGTTTATATTATGATACTCGCCGGACGCCTCGGGCCAGTCCCCCATCCCTTCCCCAAAAAACAAACAACAACAGCAACAAACAGACACACACATAAACAGACAACAAACAAACAAAAACAAAAACATGCAATTCAACTGTTGATTGCGTGCCACACACATGAAATTGAACTCTACATTTTATCTTAGAAGGGTTCGCCTTATTCTTTTTACAAAACTCTGATTTGGTCTCAGTTGTAGCATTCTCTACGTTTTCTCACTCTTAGCCTACAGTTTAAAAACTGCTGTATGCAATCATTGCACTCCTCGTTATATTGATACAGATCTAATTCCGTTTTCAACACTATGCTTATTTTTAAACGTAGGACCTCGGAATTTATTGTCCATCTCGATTAGGCCAAGCCAAATGAGTCGAGAGCCTTAAAGATCCACAAAAACGATTTAAAGTTTAAGAGCACCCCTTTGAGGATTTGAACCATAAAGGCCATTCACTCCACAGTCCAGTATGATACCATCTGAGCTAGCAGAACACCCACTCTCCATGGACACAATCAATAGCTTTTTTAATATATTTTTTTTATTGAAAAGGGTTTGCTCAGCATTGAAGGCATTTTTGAGATAGTAGACGCCAACACTTGTGCATTTTATACATAGGAGCAAATAATATAAATATCCTTTCCTCGTGTGCATTTTTCAAAACGTAAGCAGAATAATCATTTCAGAAGTAAAAAAGAGCACCCAGATTACCATGCTGTGCGTTGAAGAAAGAACCCTCAGCAAACCGTAATTTGAAACATCCGCAAAACACAGATAGATAAGATGAGATAAGATACCTCTTTATTGTCCAGATCCTGGCATATTGGTTTGGTGCTTCACCAGGTTCACTCATACACACACATGAACTCACTCTCTCTCTCTCTCTCTCTCTCTCTCTCTCTCACACACACACACACACACACACACACACACACACACACACACACACACACACACACACGCACATACACACACTAACCAAGGCTCACACAATTACGCAAACACACACACACACCTACACACTCGATCACACACACACACTCACACACACACATCCCAACACATACACACACACAAACATGCACATACATGCATACGAACCCTTTTAATATCATACGACGTACTAACGGGACATAATTAAAAGCACCATTATAATATAGTTTTAAAAAATTAACCACGGATGTGCATTGATTCTTTCTCATCGTTAGGACAAACATAATAATATCATTGCCTGTCTTTCGATTGTATAAACTATTTACCTTGAGCGGTATAGCCTAGGAGCAACACACAGCAGAAGGCAAAGAGCCACTTGTCAGACATCATGAACCCGGAAAACTGTGGAGATCACGAAGTTGAGATACAACAAACAGGGAATTACATAGACCACTCCCATATGGGCTGTTCCACGGTAACTGACAGGAAACCTGAGCTATACTGTCTTACAATAATAACACCGTTATTCAATAACACTAATTAATTTATTTCATGGGCAAAAGATCAGAACATTAAAATAGATATATATATTAATAATCATATTAAACGCAGTCATGGGGGGGGGGGGGGTACTTAATGCAAATTCTGTGACGTGTTTAGTTTCGGTAACTAAAAGGACAGCAACAAAGCCTCAATTTTTTTTCGGAAACGATATATAGCATTAAAATCAATATGTCACTATCAGGGAGTTATGATGTAAATGAAAATAACGTACTGTACGCCTCGTATAATGCAAAATGCACGTAGTATCTTAATAGCAATACCGGTATGCAAATGTGTCTTGAAATAAACAGTAACCAAAGCACAGAAAGAACAGGGAACTGAATCAAATCATCAACGCAGTGAAAGTCAATAAAATATTTGATTTGATCAAGATGTTGAATTTTGAATTAGGTAGGCCTACGTCCTTCTAAGCAACAGATCCAAAGAAAATATTGTCCCCATGCACAGATTCCATGTCATGTTTATCTAGCCATGTGAATAACGTCTGACTCATATACAACCGACTCGAATTCAAAGAAAACTTGGATTCAATAAAAGGAGACGGATTCCTGTTCTTTTCTTTTCGTTAATCAAAATCAGAAAATAACTTGGATTCAAAGCCCACTTAAATATCTGATCTAGGATTCAACGAAGTCGCTTGCAGGGTTACAATCCCCGCTTGCGTGGCTTCTCGCATGTTTCTTCGTCAACGAACCTTATTTACCATAATTATTCCAAGAGACCATCGATCGCACCTGCACCGTAGGTCATTTCACTCTTATTCTATTGCGTACGTCTTATGCGACGAGCCAGAAGCCCCATTTCACTCCAGCGTGAGCGCTGTTGACACACGTGCGTAAGACATGATAATGATAAATAATAAATAGCATTTAGTATAGCGCATACTCCCACTCGACTGCACGCTCTAGGCGCGTTATATTATATTATTACCCCAGCAGCCATAGAATACTCAGAAACATTCTCAGCTTCCTGGAAAGCATACAGTGCAAGCCGCTGATTAAGCGCTCGACACTAACAAACTGAAAAGGTTTTTCACTGTCTGTAGGTGGTTACCCATTCCCACCAGGTGAAGTGAGGAAAAGTCGTGTAAAGTGTCTTTCTCAAGGACACAATGCGGACCCCTGACGAGATTCGAAACCATGGCCTTACGGTTAGGAGTCTGAGAGCCTAAACATGACGTGTTTTAGTGTGAGCTGGGTCCGAGAGAGGTAGGGCGGATGGCTATCGGTGCGTGTATCTTGAGGGGATGTGAGAGGGTTGTAGGCACAAGCGTTCGGGGCATGGTATGTTGGCAGTGATTCAGACGCATAGCAGTCACATTTTGGACTTGGGGATCCTTTGTCATTATTATGCTAAAAAAAGCCCAACAAAAGATGCATATTTACTATAATTTTCAAACTCTATGAGTGAAGGCATTAAAATTACCATCATCTCGGGTCATATTATTGCAGAAAGAGCACTCATAGAACTTGGCCTGAGGCTTTTACTATTCATTGGTGAAATACAGTATAATTTTAAAATATTGTACCATGTTCATTATTAGTTCTGCTAAAAAAAAAGTATATCAATAAATGTGTATTTGCATTACATTTGTACAGTGTTTTACCAACATTTTTAACGTATTTTTGATAATTAAAAAATGAAACTATTATACCCATATGCCAATACCATAGTCTACCATAGTCAAACCAGAGAATATGAAGCTTAAGGCTTTGAAAAACGAAAAAAAAAGAGATACAAAATACATGTAGTAATATTTTGAACGAAAATGATAACTGAAGGAGCAGTGAAATGATCGTATCGAAAGTGCCTGTCATTACCTTAATAATGTGACTCAATATGTTTAGATAATTTATTCTTGGTGCTGCTCTTGCGCCTCTATTAAAGCAATAAGTGGTTTATACCTGTTCTGTCACAGATAGAAAGCATTGGTTTTCTTTACAGTGTCAAAGTTGCCTCTTTTCTGTAGCTTAACAAATAGGCATATTCCAAGATGGCTTCCAGGTTACGTGATTGCGTAAATGAGATAACTAACATAGAAAGCGTTTTCCATCCAATATGCTTCAATATGATATACATTAATAATATTTTTGTTCGATACATTTTTTAATTGTCTGGATGCAACATTTTACGTGGAATATCCCCTATAGCAGTAGCAGGTTACTGATAAGGCATGGCCTTGTGGCGTCTTCCCTGCTTATCTGGCTTCTACAAAAACAGAAAACGTGCAGGTTAAGCAGCATGTTAATGGGGTTTCTGATAAAAATCAGCAAACCATATGAGTGTGTTAGGTTTGTTAAGAGATTTTCTAGTTAAAAACAAAAATAACGTTCAAATTTAAATCAACTTGGGATATCTTTAATAATTTAAAATTCAGCATTACTGTAAAAGTGCCTTACCTAAGCATCTACTTATTGCCCGTATGGGTTTGCATACATGTGTATGTGTGTGTATGTGGGGGGTGGGGGGGGGTGGAGGGGGATTTTGTGAATGTGTGTTTGTTTGTCTGTGTGTGTGTGTGTCTGTCTGTCTGTTTGTCTGTCTGTCTGTCTGTCTGTCTGTCTGTTTGTCTGTCTGCCTGTCAGTCGATCTATCTCGCTCCCTCTTTCTCTCTCTCTCTCTCTCTCTCTCTCTCTCTCTCTCTCTCTCTCTGTATGTGTGTGTGTGTGGGTGTGTGTGGGTGTGTACAAGCATTTTTAGTCCCTCGAATATGGTTGCACTCAGTAAATTTATTAACACTTTGTAGAAAGCCGTTTAAAAACAGACCAATATTAGTATTGGTATGATGGCAGTGCGCACTTCACTCAATATCGTTCTCTGGACAAATGAAGGCGCCTGTTTTCTCTTTTTATTTTTATGTACAAGTTTTTTTTTTTTTTTTTTTTTAAATCGCAGTAGATCTATTCCTTTTCGGAAAAAAAAGAGATGGGGGAGGGGGTCGGGTGGGCAGAATAAATTCTATAAGGTTGTTGTGCATCTAGAACATTTGACCTTAAACGTTTTACAGCTGGGACCGTATCGCTTTTAATAATAATAAATATCAATAATAAATGACATTTATATAGCGCCCAAACCCGAATAAAGTACACAGGCTCTGAGCGCTTTACAATACAGTACAACATGCAACAGTAACATAAAACATTGTGTTCTGACTAAAGAAAATTATTCCAGATATTCATCTTATTAATTTAAAAACATAAACGACTTCAGCTGACATTTGAATGGATCAAAAGATTTGATATCTCTCAAAGTACTTGGTAAAGCATTACAGATCCTGGGGCCTTGGTATTCAAATGCCTTTTTACCCATTGTTTTAAGTTTCATAGGCGGTAAAATAAATTTCTTTTTGTCAGCTGATGACCTTAAACTGCGAGTTGGAATGTACAGTGTTAACAGATTTGTTAAATATGATGGTGCATTATCATTCAAACATTTGTGACATAGGGAGGCCAACTTGTACACAATCCTTTTCTCTAACAGGAAGCCAATGCAAAGTTCGTATAAAAGAGGTATAGCAGAGTCTCGCTTTTTTTCCGTAAAACTAAATTATATGCAGCTTTGTTTTGAACAGTCTGAAGTCTTTTAACTTTCTCCAGTGATATTCCTGATAACAAGGAGTTACAATAATCGAGTTTTTATAAAAATTTAGCTAGTTACTAGTATAGCAGTATACTTAGTATTGATCAGATGACGTATTTTACTAATTTTTCTTATTTCTAAATACATGCAGCTGATCAGATGATTTACCTCAGCCGACATTGACTAACTGGAATCAAAGTAGATGCCAAGATTCTTAACTTTTCTAGAAAATACAATTTTTGTATCACCAATTGTAATGTGATTGTGGTCAACCTCTTTAACAGACTTTGCATTGCCTGCCAGAATGACTTCTGTTTTATTATCATTCAACATCAATTGTTTTTGTTCATCCAGTTTTTCACAAAGGAAATACAATTTTCAGCACGATGGACAAGTTCATCTAAGTTGGTAAACAATGTTGAACCATAAATTTGGGTATCATCAGCATAGAAATGGTATTTTAAGTCATACATGTACTTAAATTTCCTTGACAAATGGTTGAGTATAAATGGTGAACAAAACTGGACCGATGACTGAGCCCTTTTAAAAGTAAGTCCGTAATTTTTATTTCTAATCGTGAGATTACCTTCATTGAATGTGTGTTTTTGAGAAGCAGACAGTGTACTTTGGAAAAGCACTGTACGCAAATTTTCTAAATTGGCACCGCCCTTTCTCTCTCTCTCTCTCTCTCTCTCTCTCTCTCTCTCTCTCTCTCTCTCTCTTTCTCTCTCTATCTCTATCTCTCTCCCTATCTCTCTTTCTCTATCTCTCCCTCTCTCACTCACACGCTCATTTTCACTCGCATGCACAAGAACAGATGATTACGTTAAGATACAAACAGGTATAGCCTCACTCACGGACATGAATACAGACTCGCATTTACCTGTGTTATGCCCCCCCCCCTTTCCCCTTTAAGGACAAACTTGTATAGTGGAACCACCATAATATTATAATTTATTACGGTACATGTGTGTCACGCGGATGTAAAGTCTGAGGACCTGGACAAGAATGTGTAAAGCTCACTGAAAGCTTGAGAGGTAGAAGTAAGGAACGTTAATATACATATTATTTTATTATATATGAAGAGATATATATCGCTAGCCGCGTTATTCAACAACCTGGGTGATAAAATTTTCGAAAATCACCCTTTGAACCCATTATGTAGTACAGCCCTTGATACATGTTATGTTGAAATCCCGAGTTTGAAAGATTACTACAAAGTTTTTCAATCCTTCAGTAAATCAATCGCCCACGCCACAAAGTCCTCAATTTCCACATGAT